AGAATCTAAGATCTGTCATTGACATTGCTGTGACCTCAAAAGAGTTACAAATCTTTACAAGCTGGGCTTTCTCGTCCTCGTATCTGACAAATACGGGGATAAAAATACTGACAGCCCGGGATTGTGTAAATAAAATACCACACAAACTTATGAGTGTCAGCAGCCGGACAGCACCTGATGTGCAGCAATTGCTCACAAATGGTGGCCTGTTCCAGCCTAGATATATATATAGTCAGCATCTGACACTATAAACCAAGCCACTATATAGTTGGAAGACACTAGATCATTCTTAAGGTGCTCTTTAAAAGTGGGAAAAGGATCTTAGGATGAAGTGAAGTGATGTCCATTTGAGATAACATTTTGGTAAGGGCTATCATGAAGTGTATTTACGAACTTCAGATGAAAAAGTACAATACCTTGCTTCTCACTGTGATTACGAACTAATAGCATTTTAGAGTTTGATCCTCTGACTTTATGTCAGGACATAATATCAACAAGTATATCCATCCAGCTGTTGCTGCCTCATCAGACTTTATTTCAACTAAGGCATCATCGCTAGTTTTGTCTATTGGTGCTTCCTCTATCATGCCTTTTGTTGGTTGTGTGCACAGCTGGACTTAATGTTAGTCCATTACCTGGCGCTGAGGATATTCAATGGAGGATCATCAGCATCACGGAACAAAATGGCGAGAAAGTAGAAGATCTACGGCGGCCAGGGGGCTCCCTTTCGCCAATATGGTCCATCTGCTGAACATAAGCCTCCTTTCCATTGTCCTCCTTCCTAGAACAAACACCATCATGAAGAAGGAAGCATACCCTGAGTTCTCCCTAGATTCAAAAACTTCTCTCATGAATAAGTCATTTGAACCTGTTCCCATTTTATGGATTTTTTTTTTTTTTAATGGTCCTGCTACCTAGAATGTATGGGAATTTAATTACCTGAAATTCAGTTTTGGAATGCATCTGGAGATTTTATGTAAGCTATGAATGTGACTATTGAAACCAGGCCAAAGTGTGTGTGTGTAACATGTGTACCCTGAACATTTTACATGTGTGCACATGTGCATAGCAGGTATGGTGTGTGTGTGGTGTGTGAGTGATGCAGGAGGACCATTTCCTTATATGAATCAATATTAGAGCTCTCTGCTGTGGCTTCTTTTATGTCTTCAATTCTCTTCCCTCAAGTTTGGGCAAATGCTCACCCACCTGTTAATAAATAGCTTTTCATGAGCCTTTGTTGCCTTGCCAGAAAGTCAAAATAAATCTAGAACCATAAAGCCTAGAGATACTACGACAGATCTTTCTATTACCAATTTACCCCGCCCTGCCTCTCTGTCATAATAAACTTTGACAATAACTAAAAAAAAAAAAAAAAAAAAAAAAAAAAAAAATATAGAGTATGGCCAGGTGCAGTGGCTCATGTCTGTAATCCCAGCACTTTGGGAGGCTGAGGAGGGTGGATCATGAGGTCAGGAGATCGAGACCATTCTGGGTAACATTGTGAAACCCCATCTCTACTAAAAATACAAAAAATTAGCCAGGCGTGGTGGCACGTGCCTGTAGTCCCAGCTACTCCGGAGGCTGAAGCAGGGGAATTACTTGAACCCAGGACCTGGATGTTGCAGTGAGCTGAGATCGCGCCACTGCACTCCAGCATGGGTGACAGAGCGAGACTCCGTCTCAAAAATAAACAAACAAACAAAAATATAGAGCAGGGCACTCTGGGAGGCTGAGGCAAGTGGATCAGCTGAGGTCAGTAGTTTGAGACCAGCCTGACCAATATGGTGAAACCCCGTCTCTACTAAAAATACAAAAATTAGCCGGGTGCAGTGGCATGTGCCTGTAATCCTAACTACTCAGGAGGCTGAGACAGGAGAATTGCTTGAACATGGGAGGTGGAAGTTGCAGTGAGAAGAGATCACACCACTGCACTCTAGCCTGGACGACAGAGCAAGACTCTATCCCAAAAATATATAAATATATACATATATAGAGCAGGGTGCAGTGGCACGCCTGTGGTTCCAGATACTCAGGAGGCTGAGGTGGGAGGATTGCTTATGCCCAGGAATTCGAGGCTGCAGTAAGCTATGATCACACCTGTGAATAACTACTTCACTCCAGCCTGGGCAACATAAGGAGATCCCGATGCGTGGGTCTCCTTATGTTGGATATGTGTGGATGGATAGATAGAGAGATAGAGAGATAGATAGATAGATAGATAGATAGATAGATAGATAGATAGATAGATAAATAGACAGACCAGATCGCCTCATTCCCTTGGCTTCCCACAGCACTTAGACCAAAACCCAGAGTCCTTTCCCTGGGCTACAAGGCCCTACTGCACCGTCTGGCCTCAGCTGCCTTCCCACCTGGTCCATGGCGTACAATTCACCCTTCACTCATTCCACCTAGCCACCTTCATCACCTTCTGTCTCTTGCAAGCTTTCCTACCCCAGGGCCTTTGCCTTCACAGTTCTATCTGCCTAGATTGCACTTCCCCCAAGACTAATTCCTGTCAATCACTCAGATGTCAGCTCCAATGTCTGCTTCTCAGAGAGGCCTTCCCTGACCACCAGCCCTTTAGGTGCAAGCTCATCAAAAGCTGGCGCTTTGGCTGACCCACTGCTGTGTTCCTAGTTTCTAGAAGGGGCACACAGTAGTTGCTCAACAAAGATTCTAATGAATGAAAGAATCCCATTGTCCCTGCCCTGGTTTAGACCTTCATTGTCTGAAGCTGAAATAATATCCTAAACTTACCACCTTCTATTGAGGCTGTGAACAAGTGGCTCAGCCTCTCTGAGCTCCAGCTTCCTCCTCGTAAAGCAGGAATAGCAATTGTGACCTCTGCGGACATGAAGGATAAACTGAGATCATTCTGCAAGAATGAAGAAGAGCTACTGCAAGAAGAACTACTGGAAGAAGGCACCTCTGCCAAGACACTCAAACTCTTGCCTCTTTAGACAAAGTGAGAGACACCCTGACAGAGCAGGAGCACCGTCACCAGGGACAAACACCGCCACTTTAAGTTTCAGCTCCCTTTCTAGCCTCATGCATTTCAAGGAAATCACTTCTCTTCTAACTACGAGCAGCCAGAAAGAGCAGACGGTAAAACACAGATAAGACAGCTTGGGCACAGAGGGAGGTGGGGGAAAGTCTCTTGGGTGACTGCCAAACTTCACCCTCATACAATAGGCCCCAGTAAAACAGTGGGCCTTAATAAGCACATTCCTTTCCCTTCAGGTGCACTAAGATAGGGAAGCTAAAAGCAGACTTGGGGGATATGCCTGCAGCTGCAGAAAGATGGAAACAGACACACAACTCTCCCTCCCAGATAAGCCCAACAAAGAGACACAGAAGCAGTCCACACCTCTGATAAACTCTCCCACACTGAATCTTTAAAAACTCTTAGTCTGTAAGAGAGTGTGGCTCTGACCTAACTCAGCCAGCTGCCACTCTCAGGTTTGTTTTCTCTGAAATAAACCTGTACTTGACTATTGAGCCACCTTTCATGTTTCTTTCCTCTTTCTTTAATTCTTACACACCCCAGTCTACCCATCTTACCACTGTTGCTCACCAGGGCAAAAGAACTCAGTGATGATGCCAAAATAGCACCATGAGAGCAAATGTCTGCTGTTTGACTTTGTGTTTACTTACTGGGAAGTAACAGGCCCCAAAATATCTCTGCTGCAAATATGCATCACAGCACACTGTGGTCATTCAAATGACTTGCAGCCAGCTACACAGATAGCGATGAGCTCGGTAATTTATAATAAAAAGGCACAAAGAGTATCAGAGGGAAAGCAGCCCAACTCGAGGCGACCTTAAAAATGTGCTGGACATAAAGGAGATTACTACTGTTGGGGTGGTGATACATGCAGGAGACGACTGTTGGGGTGCTAAGGTTCCCTGAGCTCTGACAGAGGCAGAGACCCTGCTTGGGAGGTGATGGTTTCTCTGCAGGGCAGCTGGTTGAGACTGGACATTGAAAATCTCCCAGAGGACTGAGGAATGGATGCTCTGAGTTGCCTGCTGTTCCCAAATGAGCCACTCCAGTGAAGATGCTGAGTAACTCCACTTGGTGTGACCGTAAACTCGAATGGCCTCACCCCGGATCTTTAGCATTGTTAGGAAACCCCTCCACTGCCTCCTCCAGGGCTCCTGTGTGACTCAGGGAGGACAAGGAGGCTCCAAACATGCATGAGATTAAATTCCTGCCAACCTGGTGGATGGGAACAGAGCAAGATTTGTTTCATTTAGAAAAACAAAGCTGTGGCTATGTTTGGGAAGGGTGCTGGAATGGGTGGGTGGTTGTAATTGTTCTTTTTTGTTTGTTTACTACAAGAATGGTACTAAGATATAAAGAAATATTATACAATGCACCTTTGTGTTGTAGAGTAAATTCACAGCCAGAGCTTTAGCAAGTCCATTTCTAATTTGCCTCTGTGCCTTGTCTGGGCAGATGTGGCCCCACAAGTGTATTGCTTGGCAGATGGAACTTGAGCCATGCACAACCTTTACAACTGTTCACAGCAACCCTGCCATAATACCCCTGATAGCAGAATACCAAAATATACTTTCCAGTAAACTGTAAACATGTGCTAATTCTGGTTCTGAACAAGAATTTTATCAATAAGGTATGGATTAATAGTGAGGAGGCCTTGGACCCACATACACATAAATGTCTCTGGAAAGGCTTGCCATTTGGGTCAGTTCTCAGCCTCTCAGGTGGGCTCTGGTGGGCTGAGTATCCTCCGCTAAGAACAAGGGCAGGGACTCATTTGTCTTTGAATGGACACAGTGGTAGCTGGGCACTCAAGGGAATATCTGCTCCTTACTTAATCTCTGGGCCTGAAAATTTCCAGAGGCTTGGCCAAACCACAGTCAGCCCAAACTGGGGAACACACTGAGGAAGTGAGTTTGGAGGAGAGGCCAAGGCTTCCTGCACCATGCTCGCTCCCAGGACGGGGAGGTGGAGGCACAGGACAGGGAGGGGTACGCACGCTTCCTTGCAGTGGCCAGGCTGCTCCTTTGCTGAGCCATAGACCACTGCTTGTAGGTATTGGCCAGGATGTCCATGGTGATGGTGTTGTGCTTCCCAAGAGAGCTGAGGTAGATCACTATATCCTCCACCTCCTGGTTCTTCAGAGGGACTCCGACCTGAGGAGACAGAGACCTTGAGACTAGCAGGCTCCCATCTAAACATCCTGCCCTGATGGCCAAGGCCTTACCAGCCTCCTCAGATCCCCATCCTGCTTCCAGTTTCATCCTCAACCACTCACTACTATACCCAAGATCCCTGCTGCAGGAGCTCAGAGCCCTCTCCTGGTCCTTTCTTACCTTTGCCTTTGCTCAGGCAGTTCCTCTTCTCTGCCTGAAAAACTCCCATCCCTCCTTCAAAGTCCAGTCCAGATGTCACCATCTTTATAGAGTGGGTTACTTCTTCCTCTAGGGTCCCACCCCACTTCCTATCAGTCTCAATGGCAGATCTACCATCCTGGATATGAAGCATGATTTCACATATGGATCATCCCTGTCCACAAGTAACACATAAATCTCCCTTAATTCCTGGAAAATGGGATCAAGAATACTATACACCTCACTCTTTTAAGGACAATGAGCAACTCTGGAAGTGTATAATGCTTGCCAGCAACATTGGATATTCAAGAAGAAAAGTTGTAAAGGAAATAAGATTTTGTTCTTTAGTTTCTTTAGACAATAGTCATTGTTCACTGAACTTTACTCAAATTCCTGGCCTCAAGTGATCCTCCTGCCGCGGCCTCCCAAAGTGCTAGGTAAACAGGCATGAGCCACTGCGCCTAGCCTTGAACGTTCCTTAAGTAAGATCAGAACTCTCCTGGTGCTGGCCAGGTGTGGTGGCTCATGCTTGTAATCCCAGCACTTTAGGAGGCCAAGGCGGGTGGAATGCCTGAGGTCAGGAGTTCGAGATCAGACTGGCCAGCATAGTGAAGCCCCATCTCTACTAAAAACACAAAATTAGCCAGGCATGGTGGCATATGCCTATAATCCCAGTACCCGGGAGGCTGAGGCAAGAGAATCCCTTGAACCAGGGAGAGGGAGTTTGCAGTGACCCAAGACTGCACCATTGCACTCCAGCCTGGGCGACAAGAACCAAGCTCCGTCTCAAAAAAAAAAAAAAAAAAAAAAAAAAAAGAACTTTCCTGGTGCTAAAGAATGTAATTATTTAAACTTTGGGTTATGGAGATTAAATACCATTATCTTTAAATACTTTGAAATGTTGTTGAGATAATTACATGTCATAAAACATGTGTGAGAAAACTGGTAATAATTTAAAGCCACAAAAGACATCACAGTCAACTTCTTAAAGTTGTTTAAGGTATTTGTCGTTGTTGTTTGGATTTCTTTTAAGTCAGGATCTTGCTCTGTCACCCAGTCTGGAGTGTAGTGTTGTGATCATAGCTCACTGCAGCCTCTAACTCCTGGGCTCAAGTGATCCTCCCATCTGACCCTCCCATGTAGCTGGGACTACAGGTGTGTGCCACCACACTGGGCTAAGCTTTTTAATTTTTTGTAGAGATGGGGGTCTCACTATGTTACTTAGGCTGATCTCAAGCTCTTGGCCTCGAGCAATCTTTTGGCTTTGGCCTTCCAAAGTGTTGGGGGATTACAGGCATGAGCCATCATGCCAGGGTAAAGTATCTTGCATTCAAAATATAGAAAAACTTAACTCATCTAGACTAGGGTTAGCAAGCTTTTTCTGTAAAAAGTCAGATAGAGCCAGGCGTAGTGGCTCACACCTGTAATTCTAGCACTTTGGGAGGCTGAGGCAGGTGGATCACAAGGTCAAGAGATCGAGACAATCCTGGCCAACATGGTGAAACTCCTTCTCTACTAAAAATACAAAAATTAGCTGGGTGTGGTGGTGCATGCCTATAGTCCCAGCTACTCGGGAGTCTGAGGCAGGAAAGCCGCTTGAACCCAGGAGGCGGAGGTTGCAGTGAGCCAAGATCGTGCCACTGCACTCCAGCCTGGTGACAGAGTGAGACTGCGTCTCAAAAAACAAACAAACAAACAAACAAAAAACTCAGTAAATATTTTAGGTTTGGCTAGCTATACAGTGTGTCATACTGTTCAACTGTGCCATTGTAGCATGAAAGCAGCCACAGACAATTCAAGGATGAATGAGTGTGACTGTGTTCCAATAAAACTTTATTTAAAAAAACAGGAAGCAGGCTGGACTTGTCTCGTGAGCCACAGTTTGCAGACCTCTGCTAGGCCGATAAAACTTTCCATGATGATGGAAATGTTCCACATCTGTGCAGTCCAGTAGAGGAGCCACTTGCCACATGTGACTACTGAGCACTCAAAATGTGTAGCTGGTGTGATAGACAGACTGGATTTTTAAATTTATAATTGATTTACATTAATAAATAGCCAGTGAAAGTAAAAGTGTGGTCCATAAACCAGTACTGCAGGCAACACCAGGAGCTCATTAGAAATACAGCATCTTTTGATGACCCACAGCTGTACTGGGTCAGAAGCTGCATTTTGACAGGACCCCCATGTAATTTATATGCCAGTAACAGTTGGAGACACTCTACCAGCTTTCTCTGATCTCAGTTTTGGGGTCTGCTGTGCAAGACAGGGATTCCCCAAGGTAGCTGGCTGGTTATGAGGTTGACTCTGCAGACTTTCCACTCAGGTGGGGGCTTTCAATGTCAGACTGGTGTGGGGAGCAGATTTTAAGGATCTGATTTGGCCACAAGTTAATCCATATTTTCCAATCTGGCTTTATAAGTAATAAGGCAGACAGTTTGCACTCCTTATATCTACTTCTCAGTTGAACTAGAACCCAGCAGGGGGCGGCAAAGAGGGAGTACATGGACATCCTGCCCACTTAGGCCTATCCAGAGAAAGCAGGCGGCACTTACTGCCTTTACAGCCGTGATGAACTCCTCCCTGGTGATTCTCTGGTTCTCACCCTGGCCCACCTTGTGAAATATCTCCAGGATCTTGATCTTGTGGCTATGCAGGTAGGAGTACATGACTGACAGGGCAGGGGGCTTGGGCAGCTGGAGCTGGGGCACCATCTGGCGGGAGAGCCGGGGGCCTTTTTTCTGGAAGAGGCGAGAGGGTAGGGCAGAGGAGAGAGTTCAAGGGAGATCGGCCAGTGGGATGCAGTCACCAGAGTTAGGGAGTAAGGAGAGGCCGAGCAACTCTAAATAGTAGGATAGAGTACAAAGGGCACTGGATTCAGGGCAACTGTGTTTGGCCACAAAATGCCTGGGAGACTTTGCTTCTCTGAGCCTTGGTTTTCTCATCTGAAAAACACAAGGCTTGGAAAATATAGGAACTAAAATTTCATTCTTATCTATATCTCTCCTGTCAAACCAGGCAGTATCTGTAATCCCACTGGTCTGGTCTCTCAGTGCACCAAAACCTATACCCTTCCCTGGAACCATGTGGAGATCCCCCACCCCCTCCCCCAGCCTTTGCATCTGGTATAGGCCTCTTGCCTGGAAAATTTTTCTCTCTTTCTCTATCTGTCCAAATACTCCTCCTCCTCCAATTCCAGGTGAAAGGGCATATTTTGTAATGATGATAATCTTCTACCTTGGTGCAGCACTGGACAGTTTACAAAGGGCCTTCCCATTCCCTAGGGTATTGTTCCTCTGTGCTCCTCCCGGGGTGCTTACTATAATAGAGACCCACTTCTATTAATGGCCTATAGCAAACTGTAGAGCCATTAATCCGATGTGGCTGCCTCCCCCACTAACATGTGAACACCTTGTGCTACGGCTTAATGTTTGTCCCCTCCAAAACACATGTTTAAACTTAAAGTGAGTTTTGTTAAGCCACTTGGCACATGTGACTATTGAGCACTCCAAATGTGGCTGGTGTGATTGAGGGACTGGATTTTTAAATTTATAATAAAATTTTTTTTTTTTTTTTTTTTTTTTTTTGAGATAGAGTCTGGCTCTGTCTTCCAGGCTGGAGTGCAGTGGCTGGATCTCAGCTCACTGCAAGCTCCGCCTCCCGGGTTTATGCCATTCTCCTACCTCAGCCTCCCGAGTAGCTGGGACTACAGGCACTCGCCACCTCGCCCGGCTAGTTTTCTGTATTTTTTAATAGAGACGGGGTTTCACCGTGTTAGCCAGGATGGTCTCGATCTCCTGACCTCGTGATCCGCCTGTCTCAGCCTCCGAAAGTGCTGGGATTACAGGCTTGAGCCACTGCGCCCGGCCAATTTATAATTAATTTACATTATTAAATAGCTAGTGAAAGTAAAAGTGTGGTCCGTGGACCAGTACCACAGGCATCACCAGAAGCTCGTTAGAAACGCAGCATCTTTTGATGACCACAGATGGGCCGGGTCACAAGTAACTTAATACTGTTATTAACATAATGGTATTAAGAGGTGGGGCCTTGGCTGGGCGTGGTGGCTCAAGCCTGTAATCCCAGCACTTTGGGAGGCCGAGGCGGGTGGATCACGAGGTCAGGAAATCAAGATCATCCTGGCTAACATGTGAAACTCCGTCTCTAAATACAAAAAACTAACTGGGCGTGGTGGCAGGCACCTGTAGTCCCAGCTACTCGGGAGGCTGAGGCAGAAGAAAGGTGTGAACCCAGGGGGCGAAGCTTGCAGTGAGCCGAGATCACACCACTGCACTCCAGCCTGGGCGACAGAGCGAGACTCCTTCTCAAAAAAAAAAAAAAAAAAAAAAAGAGGTGGGGCCTTTAAGAGGTGATTGGGTCATGAGGGGTCTGCTGTCATGAATCCATTAATTCATGTATGGATTAATGGATTAATGGGTTATGGATTAATTGATTATCATGGAAGTGGGTTCGTTATCATGAGTGGGATCTGCTAGAAAAGCCAGTTTGGCTCCCTTTCGTGTACCCCCTCACCCTGAGATGCCTTCCACCGTGTTAGGATGCAGCACGAGGCCGTACCTAGAGGCCGGCCAGTCAAGCCTTCAGATGACTGTGGCCCAGGCCAATATCCTGACTGCAACCTCATGAGGACTTTCAGCCTCCAAGACTGTGAGCCAAAAAAATCTCTTTTCTTTATAAATTACCCAGTATCAGGTCTTCCGTGATAGCAAGAGAAGTCACACTAAGACACCTTGAAAGCAAGACCATTTCTTATTTGCAGTGTATCCCCATCTCCCACCTTTATACTGAACAAAGCCCAGGCCCTAGGAAGACAGGCAGTAAGTATTTGCTGAAGGAATAAACGATCCTATGAATGAGGTATGAGGTACTACCTAATTCACAATAAGGAATCAGGCTTAGAGATGTCAAGGGTTTTCCCAATGCCACACAGCCAGTAAGCAGTACACCTGCATTTCTAACCCGTCTAGTTCTTATTCTTAGACCCTATGCTGCTGGCAGAAGAGGGTGTGTTAGACCCATGAAATTAGGATTTTGGCTATAGTAACAGCAAGGACTGGCCCTGAAGCTTCTGGGTCAACCAACCCAATGGACAACCGTGAGATTACAACAATAATACAGATGGAAAACATGTTTGAGTGCTCACTATGTGTCCAATAGCGTCCTAGGCACCTTATATAAATGAATCCATTTAGACATCATAGTGACCCCAGGAGGTAGGAACAATGGTTATCTCTATTTTATGGATGAGAAAACTGAGACCCAAATCATACAACTAGGAAGTAGCAGAGCTATGTTTAAACCCAACTTATCTGACTTTTTATTCCAAGGAAATGTCACAGAGAGAGAAGGAGTTGGTAGTGCCCTTATCACTTACTATCACTGTATGTTTGGACAAATGTTGGCCTCACTGAGCTTCTATTTCCACATTTGTAAAAGGGGGATCCTCCTTTTCCTCCCAACCTCACAATCGTCACCCTCACAATAGCCTTGTGAGCACCTGCGTGCTACATGGAACCCTCAGCAAACATGTGTCATGAACAAATGAATGAACAATGGGTATTTTACAAATACCCCATAAGATGGACTGTCAGGAATGATCCCTTCTGGGGTGATTTTAAGGTATGTCCACAAATTATTCTGCTTCTCTCATTTCTAAGACGGATTCTTCTTTCCTTCTTGAGCATGGGCAGTACTCAGGGACTCACTTCTGACAAAGAGAATGTGGTGGAAGTGATAGTGTGAAACTTCTGAAACTGAGGCCTTCGGAAACTAGGTCCTAAAGAGCATTGCAGCCTCTGTCTTGCTCTCTTTTTTGGACCCTTCACTCTGGGGGATGCCAGCAGCCATACTGTGAGGACACTCAAGCAGCCCTATGGAGAGGTCCATGTGGGGAGGAACTGAGACCTCCTGCCAATAGCCACATGAGTGAGCCAGCTTGGAAGCAGATCCTTTTGCCCCAGTCAAGCCTTCAGACGACTGAGGCCCAGGCCAACATCCTGACTGCAACCTCATGAGACACTCTGAGCCAGAGCGACCCAGCAAAGCTACTCTCCAATTCCTGACTCTAGAAACTGTGTGTGATCATAAATATTTGCTGCTTTCAGTCATTTGGGGGTGTTTGTTATGCAGCAATAGATAACTAGATAACTAATACACCTCCCTCTCAAGACTTCCGTTTGCTCCTCTGTGAAATGGGGTGAACTATCCCTATCCAGCCTAAGCCAAGGGAATAAAATGATGATGCATCCCTAAACTCTTGGTTTGTTCATCTGGCAAATGGGGCTGCTCACCCTGGTGGTCCTGGTAGTTGCCTGGGAGGCATTTGTCTGGGCACTCTGCTCCTCGTGGATCATGTGTAAGACCTTGGCCTCTGAAGGCGTGATGCTGGGCTTGTTCTCCAGCCACCTCTTTACATCACCAAAGGACTCCAGCTCCTGCCGCAGCTTCGCCCTCCGGCTCAGCCAGGTCTTCCTGTCTTCTGGCTGCTCTTGGATATCTTTAGCTTCCAGAACTTTGAAGCTGGGGATGGGCTTTGGGGGAGCCTGAGGTTGGGATGCAGGATTAATGGGTGTCTGATCTTCCTTGCGAGGCACCATGATGATTCGCCGGCGGGTCTGAGGCAGGCGGAAGTCCTTCTGCTTGAACTGCTTGAAGCAGTGGGCAATGACCAGTTCAGGATCAAAGACGGCGGCATTTTCATCTATGGAAGTCTTAGATGGGCAGAGTCCTTGGGGTAAGAGAGTTAAAAGGTGAGTTTCTTTCTGGAAGAGGATTAAAAGGAGCCAGGAAGGAAAAACACTTTTGCTCCAGGCTGGGCGTCAGGGGCCCTGGATTCCAGGACAGGTTTTATCATTGTCTTGCTGTAATGATAAGGATAATTTCATCTAATGTGACCGGGCATTCCCAACAGCAGGCAGTAAGCTAAGGGCTCTATATGCTTTCTCTTATTTCATCTTCTCCACACCCAGCCCCCAACACTCCCATTGGCAATCAGAATGAACTTTTAAAGATGCCAGTCTGATCTTGTGTGATCATCTGAGGCAGCACAGTATTAAGAGCAGAGGCTTTGGGGCCAGAACGCTCTTCGGTCTGAGTCCTGGTCCTGCCACCTACTGGGTGCATGATCTTGAGCAAACCACTTAACTTCTCTGTCTCAACCTCTTCATTGGTAAAATAGGCATAATGAAGGTAACCTATTTTATTGGATGGGAGTGATATTAAAATCAGCCAATCTATTAGAGTTGCTTTGTATATAACATATCTGGTATTATTGGCATATACTCACCATTCACTCATTTTGAAGCCCTTCCATGACTTTTGATAGCCCTTAAAATGAAGTCCTGTGCCCCTCTTCTGTCAACCTGTCCCCCTAATCCCTTGCCTCTCTTTCCTTACTATGTCCTGGACACCTGGGCTTCTCTCTTTGCTGAGTGGTCCAAGCCTCATCCTGACTAGGGGTTGGTATGTGCTCCTCCCTCTAGCAGGAGTGTTCCCTCCCCATCTACACCCTGGGTACTCTTCCTCATCCTCCAGGCCACATCTTTGCATCACAACCTGCACTTTCCTTCAGACCACTTATCACGACTGGGTACATCAAGGGCTGAAAACTGGTGGCCCTCATGCTGAATGAGGGTTGAGGTCTTGTTTTGTTTAACACCTTGCTCGATATTTTTCAGTCTGAGTTACTTTGGGCTGAGGCACTGCCGTCTCCAGCTTGCCACACACTCCCCCATTCCTTATTGTCTCACAGGCAGCTCATTTTCTTTATGAAGTCCTCGGTTTGGGCAGCAATTTGCCTTTGAGACCCTTGGTGTAATTACTTGGTTGATGTTTATTTTTTCTAGTAGACTATGAGTTCTGTGAAGACTACAACCCTATCTCTCTTGTTCCTGGAGCCCTGGCACCTCCACAGTGTCTACATATAATGGGAACTCAGTACATATTTGGTGAGTGACAAATGGACAGACCTATGATGCTGGTACTATGATTATGCCCATTTTGCAGATAAGGACATTGAGACCCAGAGAGGCCCAAGGTCACTCGGTTGATTAGTAGCAGAGCTGAGACATGACCTTCAGTTTGTCTGGCCCCAGAGCTCAGCTCTTAGCTGTTACTTGATATTACCCAGGGCTGTCACCCAATCCTTCTGAGTCTCAAGTATTTCACTTCTGAAACGGTATAAACTCCACTCTATCTACCTCTTGAAGTTGTTATGAAGATCAAATGAGATAACAGTTTGAAAGTGTTCTAAAAAATCAGAAGGGGCCAGGCATGGTAGCTTATGCCTGTAATCCAAGCACTTTGGGAGGCTGAGGTGGGAGGATTACTTGAGCCCAGGAGTTCAAGACCAGCCTGGGCAACATAGTGAGACCTCATCTGTACAAAAAACTTTAAAACTAGCCGGGCATGGTGGTGCACGCCTGTAGTCGCAGCTCCTCAGGAGGCTGAGGTGGGAGGATCACTTGAGCCTGGGAGGTAAAGGCTACAGTGAGCTGAGATGACCTCCATTGTACTCCAGCCTGGGCAACAGAGACCTTTTTTCAAAAAAATAAAATATCAGAAGGGATATAACAATCTTATTGGAAATACTGTCAGTTATTTTCCTCCTAAAACCCAAACTCCCTTGCTTAAAACCTGTCCATGACTCCCAACTGCCTCTAGAATAAAGTTCAAGCTCCTTAACCTGGCCCCATCTGGCCCTCTCGCCCTTGCCAGTCTCTCCGATTTCTCTGGCTCCTTCTGTCTTCCCTTGCATTTGTATCCAAACAGATCTGCTCCACCAACACACATACAAGCCATGCTGTTTCCTCCCCATGACACGCTCTTCTCCCTCCCTGCTTTACTTGTTGATCCCTGACTCACCCTTTGAGACTCAGCTCAGGCATCCCGGCCCCTTGAAGCCCTCCCACTCCCCCTCTCATGGGTCCTCTGGGTCCCACAGCCCCCATACTTAGTCCCATCATAAGCATTTACCATATTTTTCTGAAATGAAGATATTTTCTGCATCTTTCTTTCCCAACAGTCTGTGAGTTTCTCAGTGACAAGGACTGTGTCTTAGTTCCCCTGTGTCCTCGGTGCCCAGCCTGGCCCAAAGTGGACATTCAGTACATTTGTTAAGTGTCTTTACAAGGCCCATGTGTTCCTTTCATAGTCAGCACATAATAAAAGTAAACATCATGGTATGGTTTCCATCTGTGTCCTTGCCCAAATTTCGTGTCAAATTATAATCCCCACTGTTGGAGGAGAGGCCTAGTGGGAGGTGATTGGATCACAGGAGAAGACTTCCCCCTTGCTGTTCTCGTGAGAGCGAGTGCTCACAAGATCTGGTTGTTCAAAAGCGTAGCACCTCCCCCTGCTCTCTTTTCCTCCTTCTTGGGTTGTGTAAGATGTGCCTGTCTTTGCCTTCCGCCATGATTGTTAAGTTTCCTGAGGCCTCCCCAGCCATGCTTCCTGTACAGCCTGAGGAATTGTGAGTCAATTAAACCTCATTTCTTTATAAATACTTAGTCTCAGGTAGTTATTTATAGCAGTGCTAGAACAGACTATTACACATCAATAAGGATGGAAGTGAGCACTTCTAACAACACATGTATCATTACTTCAACCACAAGAAAGTCCATTCTCAAAAGGGGATGACTGAGAATGTCATCACTCATCAAACCAGTATTTATTGAGAATCCCCCAGGGCTTGGTGCTGTACCAGGTGCAGATTAAACTAGGCTGAGCACCTACCATGGTTCACCTGATCCCAGTCCACCCAACGAAACAAGGTGGGGCACCCAGAGGGTAACAAGATGTTCTCCGTTGGGGAAGAAATGCTGATTGTGGAACCTGGGAGGGCATCAAGGAAGAAGTGTCTCTGATGTGGACCTTCAAGAATGGTCTGGCTTCATGGGGTGGAGGGGCAGGGATGGGGAAAGGTCAGGAGTGGTATTTGGGGATTTTTGGGTCACCAGACAGTTCCACATGTTGGAAGCACACTGTGTGTAAAGGAGGAGGTTAGTGGGAAATAAGGTTGGCATCATCTCAAATGCCAGGCTAAGAGATTGAAACTTTACCCTGCAGACCACAGCAACACAAAACCTGCTCCCCACAGGTCTTGCTGCTCCCATTTGGGTCCTCCCTATACTCCCAATCCATGTTCTGCCCTCAGCTAGGAGAGCCTTACAAATGTAAATTCACAGTCTGTCCCTCCCCAATTTGAAACCATTCAATGGCTTCTTAGTGCTCTTTGAATAAATACCCGCCTCCTTCTGTGGCCTACAAAGCTGCCTTCACTGGCCCTGCTCCTCACTCTTCCCTTGTCACCTCCCAGATCCCACCCCTCACTCATGTGGTCCCAGCTGCTGTCCTCCTTTCTGTTATCTGAGGTGCCTGGTTCTTTCCTGGCTCTGGGTTTTCAGTTTTTGCATTTGCTGTGCCCTCTGAAGAGCACTGCATTTCCCAGGGTTTTCCCTGGCTGAGTCCTTCTCCTCACATAGTTCTAAACCTGCACCAGCCCCTGACCCCACTTTCCAAGGGTGCCTGCCAACCACACCCTCCTCAGGGAGCTTCATTCTAGTGCTCTTTGGAGTCCTGTGTCCATTGACAGAAAGGGAAGTGGGCTCTTATAATAAAAGAGGCTGTCATTATGTAGTTATGGGTAGAGACTATGTGACAATGTTCCTAGGAGATTGGCGAGGAAAGCTCTCACATGCCAACTAGTTCAATCACCTGCCCAGGTCAAGGATGCTTTCCTCAATGTCACTGGCAGACTTTGCCTCCGTTTATACACCGCCACTGATGTGGAACTTTCTACTTAACATGGCGGACGCTAAACTCTGACTGCTAGAAAATACCTCCTTATATTGACCCAGAATTTGTTTCCCTGGACTTTCTATCCCTTGGTTCTAGTCCTCCCCATGGATGTCCCAGAAAACACATTTGTTCTCTCTTTTCTCAGACAGCCTATAGGTGTCTGGAAACAATTCCACTCTTTCTTGAAATTCTCCCTGCTCTTGGCTTGATTCAATCTCTTGCTATGTCCAATTCTACCTCTCTGACTACCGTTTTTGGGCCCCTCTTTTCCTGTACTCTTTAAAGGTTGTTGCTTCCAGGCTTATACCCAAGCTCTCTTCTCTTTTCAAAAAATCCCTTCCACTCTCATGTTTCTATGACCTTCTTTATGCTGGGGACATCCATACCAATATTTTTGACTTGGAATTAGCTCCAAGTTTATACCTGCAGTTGTTCCTAAAACATCTCCACTTGGATGGCTTACAGGGATCTTTTTTTATTATTTATTTTTAATTGAGACAGGGTCTTGCTCTGTTGCCCAAGCTGGAGTACAGTGGTTCAATCATAGCTCACTGCAGCCTTGAACTCCTAGGCTCAGATGATCCTCCCAGTTCAGCTTCCTGAGTAGCTGGGACTACAGGTGCATGCCATTAAGCCTGGCTAACTTTTTTTTTTTTTTTTTGATATGGAGTCTCACTCTATCGCCCAGGCTGGAGTGCAGTGGCACGCTATCGGCTCACTGCAAGCTTCCCCTACCCGGTTCACACCATTCTCCTGTCTCAGCCTCCTGAGTAGCTGGGACTGCAGGTGCCCACCATGACACCTGGCTAATTTTTTGTATTTTTAGTAGAGATGGGGTTTCACCGTGTTAGCCAGAATGGTCTCAATCTCCTGACCTCGTGATCCACCCGCCTTGGCCTCCCAAAGTGCTGGGATTACAGGCGTGAGCCACCACACCAGGCCCGGCTAACTTTTAAAAATGATTTTGTAGAGATGGGATCTCACTATGTTGCCCAGGCTATTCTCAAACTTCTGGGCTCAAGCAATTCTCCTACCTCAGCTTCCCATAGTGCTGGGATTACAGGCGGGATATACTGTGTCTAGCCACTGACAAGGATCTTAAACTCAGCCAAGACTGGATTTGTCTTCGTGCCCCTGCCCCCACTAACTGGGTCCTCTGAATATGTTCTCTATCTCTGTGGAAGACACCTCCATCTACCAGGTCCCCCAGCTGCCAACTTGAGCACCATCTTTATTTGCCCCTTCTATGTTTCCTGACCAACCAGTCCCCAAGTCCCTGTAGTTACCTCTAGCCTGGGCCTTCTCCCTCACCTCCCAGCATCTTTAGCTTGAGCATTTGACCAGAGCCCTGACCTGTGTGCCTGGGAAAGGTGGTCAGCCTCTCTGGCTCGCCCTGTTTCTCCACTGGGCATTAATGTGTTCACTGCTGGAGAAGGGGCATGGAGAAGACCTTCAGTCTTCAAGCTTTACAGCCCCAGCTCTCATCTCCCCACACCAACATTCTGAGTCTGCCAACTCAGTCTGAGGTCTTTTCTGACTGCTCCCATTCCTGTCCTGCCACTCCCAGTGGCCTCTCCATCTCCTGGCTTGCAGGATCTTTTATGATCTTGTCCCTTCTGACCTCTCTCACCTCATTTCCAGAGACACCAGACTTCTTGGGCCATGCTGTTTCTTTGCCTGAAATGCTTTTTCCTTCCCCTTTTGGCTTGGAGAACTCCCTTTTATCCTTTAAGCTCAAGTGTAAAGATATTTTCCAAAAGCTTGGAACTGTTGCTCCCCATCCCATACCCTCAGCACACCTTTTACTCGTGGGTGTCATCCCTGGGCCCGGCATTCACCCCTTCTTATTCTGTAATTATAAATTTATCTCTGTCTTTTACCCATGAAGCTGCATTGCTTTGCCAAGAACTTGGTCCCCAGCACATTACTGCCAAAACCTTGAAGACTGACGTCTTCTCCATGCCTCTCCTCCAGTACTGAATACATTAATGTCCTACAGAGAAACAGGGTGAGCTGGAGGGCTCCCGTCATTATGGGTCGGGCCTCTGGTGCCTCCAACTAGGCTCAGGTGGAAATCTCAGAAATGTACATGACCTGCCCCCGACTCCATGGCAACCTTCACCCAGAGGGGTCGGCACAATGAGATCTGTGGCTGAGTTTTTGCCGTCACCCCACTTCCACGCGTCCTTAGGGCGCTGAGCGCTCCCTGCAGACGCCACTTCCCGGGACTTACCCAGCAGCGACAAGAACAGACTGTGGTACGCTTCATAGTCGTCGTCCATGGTCGTGGTGCTGGGAGGGGGTGCTGAAGGGCGTGTATGAATGTGTGTAGATGTGGGCTTGCTTGCGTACGGGTGCCGGGGTATCAGATAAACAGTAACTCCAAGTCGTGCGAAAGGCGCTCAGCTGGGACAGCCGGAGCAACCTGTTACCGTGGCTACCGACGCCCCGCGCCAATTGGCTGAGCACTGCCACGTGCCAGGAGCGAGCCCGCTCGGCCGAGTGCCTGCTGACCCCACCTCCTTTTCGTCCAAATCCACGCCCTGCCCAGTTCTGGGGTTGGTGAAAGGCGGGATTTCTTTGTTCGGCGCGGTGCCCCGGAATCTAGTGTAGAAAGTCTCCGGTTTTCCCGTGAAGTGTGGGATCTTCAGCAGGTCTCCATATCTCTAGGCCTTAGTTTTCTCATCAGAAAAATAGGCCCTGCCTCCTCCAGAGGGTTAGAAAGAACCAAAGTGAGCTGTGGCCAGATAAAGGTGTTTGGTATGTTCTGCCCCCCTTATGGCAGGGTGCCATGGTTTGGAGTTACAGAACCTGAGGACCAGAGAATAATAAACCCTTGAAACGTGCATCAACTGATAAACAAAATGAGGTATATCCATTGGATGGCCATAAGAAGGAATGAAGTACATGCTACAGTATGGATGAACCTTCAAAACAGTATGCTAAGCAGGAAGCGAAACACAAAAGACCACGTGCTGTATGATTCCATTTTATGTGAAATGTTCAGCATAGACAAACCCACAGACACGGAAAGTAGATTAATGGCAGATAGGGGATGGGGTGAGGAATTGGAAGTGACCGCTAACAGGTGGGGAACTTCTTTTTGGAATGGAAAAAAGAAATGGAAACTTCTGGAATTAGTGATGATGGCTGTACATTGTAAATGTACTAAAACCACTGAATTGTACACTTTAAAATGGTTAAATGGTGGCTTTTAGCTCAATTTTTAAAAAGTTAAAAAGAAACACCTGAGCACTTGTCCTTTGCTGAGACAAGCTATCTTTGTGACCCTCACAACCTGAGATGGTTGCCATGCGTCACATTCATACAGCACTCTTGCAAGCCAGGTACCGTTTTAGCACTACATGTCTGAACTTCATAATCACAATCACCGTGTGAGGTAGACACCACTATCCCCCTTTTTTTTTTTTTTTTGAGATGGAGTCTTGCTCTGTCGCCCAGGCTGGAGTGCAGTGACACAATCTCGGCTCACTGCAAGCTCTGCCTCCCAGGTTCATGCCATTCTCCTGCCTCAGCCTCCCGAGTAGCTAGGACTACAGGTGCCCACCACCACCCCCAGCTAATTTTTTTTGTATTTTTAGTAGAGACGGGGTTTCACTGTGTTAGCCAGGATGGTCTTGATCTCCTGACCTCGTGATCCGCCCGCCTCGGCCTCCCAAAGTGGTGGGATTACAGGCGTAAGCCACCGTGCCTGGCCCACTATCCCATTTTTACAAGACAAGTTAACAGGTACAGAGGTCAGGCAACCTTACTTGCAATAAAGGGGAAAAGCCAGGCCTAGAGCCTGAGCAACCTGGCTGTCCTGAGGTCCCCTAGCACAGAGCTCGCCTCCTGCATTCACATGGGCCCACACTCCCCATGGAGATGCTAGGGGAAAGGATATGACCACCAGCCCTACCACGAAGCCATATCTGATGCCCTGAGCTTGGTGAGCCCGCCCCACCCTCCAGCCCCAGCTGGGCCCAAGGTTTCAGAGTCCCCTCGCTATCCTTAGCTGCCATATCTGGCTGTCTTGTCCCTACTCCTTACCCCTTTTGTTCCCTTCCATTATTAGGTGCCCTTTTTTCTCTCTCTGAGAGTCTGTACAGAACTTATCTTTATGCCCCTCCCCACCACAGGGCTTCACACTTTGTGAATGCTAATTGGATGTTTGTCAAATGAAAATGTGATGGTAAATTATAAAGTGGATGTTTGCCGTGGGGAGAGGGAGGTGTGGCCAGTTTTCCTGTTCTCTGGTCAAAATTCATCCTTCTAAAAACTGACACTTATTACTCACTAAAGTGGAAACAACCAACTACCTCTGCATCACACTGCAGCCTGATTCGGTTCACACCGCCCTACAACAAAGGCAGTTTCCTGAACAACTGATTTTTCATTTATTCAATCAATTTGATTTTCAAATTATATCTTAAAATGGTAGTTGGTAATTAAGACTTAATAACTAGTTTTTTCCCTTTTTTTCTAATAGTAAATGCTTTGGTATTTGAACAATAACAGTACTTGTATAAAAATGGCATAAGACTAATTTTTTTTGAGACAGGGTCTTGCTGTGTCATCCAGGCTGGAGTGCAATGGTATGATCATAGCTCACCACAACCTCAATCTCCTGGGCTCAAGGGATCCTCCCACCTCAGCCTTCTGAGTAGCTGGGACCACAAGTGTGTGCCACCATGCCGAACTAATTTTAAAATTATTTGTAGAGATGGGGTCTCATTATCTGGTTGCCCAGTCTGGTTTTGAATTCCTGGGCTCAAGCAGTTCTCCTGCCTCAGCCTCTCAAAGTGCTAGGATTACAGATGTAAGCCACTGTGCCTGGCCAAATGGTATAAACTCCAAATGGAAGATGAGAAATGAGTTTTCACAAAGGGACCAAGGTAAAAGAGTGAGTGAGCTGAAAAGGAGCAGCAGACAGATATTCACATTAGGTTACTGAACGGATGCTGAGGTGGAATCTACAATTCCTAAGGGATAGTGTGGAGCTGTCAACAATACACAATGCCAGAGGAATCTTATTTGACTTTGGGGTTAGGTTTTTTTTTTTTTTAATATATATTTTTTGAGACAGGGTCTCTCTCTGTCATCCAAACTGGAGTGCAGTGGCATGATCATGGCTCACTGAAGCCTTGAGCTCCTGGGCCCTCATGAGCTCAAATGATCCTCCTGCCTCAGCCTTCTGAGACTATAGGCGTGCACCACCACACCTGGCCAATAAAAATATTTGTTGGGCCCCTAGCTTTAGCAAGGTTGATAGAAATTTGCTTTGTATTATTGATAGTTTAGATGTACTTTTTATCTTCTGATTACATTTCATTTTTGGAAAAGCCACACACTTTTTTTGGATTGTTGTCAAATAATAATTTATTTAAAAATAATCTCAAAATATATTCAAACACATTCAGTAGCAAAGATCCACCATTGGCACACACATTAAGAAAGCACACACACTGGGCTCCTAGTTGGGCTAATTAAAATCTATATGGCTGGAAAGGTGGTTGGTTGTACTTAATGAAGCTTTTTTGAAGTGCAAAGCTATGCATAACAGATGAGCTTGAAAACTGCAGAGTTTAAGACAGACTTAATTTTTCATGATTTTCCCAAAGCCAGTCATGGTATTTATTTAATTTGTGGTCTTCAGGGTGCACCTGGAAGAAATACAACACACAAAGAGGCAGAGACCTTAATGTAACTTAGTCAGAAATATGTTTTTTAAAATTGGCTTTTTAAATGTTTGCTGGGGGACAGTACATTATGATACTCTACCTAAAAGTTATAACTTTTAACCTCATGGGATTCATGAATATTTTAAGTTATACCTTATATTAAGGTAATCACATACAGTTTACAAAGTACTGTCCAAATGACTACTCACCATGACTTGGAGTGTGGGGTGGTGACGACATGAGTCAAGTATTAATACCTCACTTTCCAGAAGGAGGTTCTAGACCCTGAGAGGTTAAATGGATTCTCAGGGCCGGGCATGGTGGCACATGCCTGTAATCCCAGCACTTTGGGAGGCCGAGGCAGGTGGATCACAAGGTCAGGAGATCAAGACCATCCTGGCTAACATGGTGAAACCCCGTCTCTACTAAAAATACAAAAAAATTAGCCAGGCATGGTGGCGGGCGCCTGTAGTCCCAGCTACTCGGGAGGCTGAGGCAGGAGAATGGTGTGAACCCGGGAGGCAGAGTTTGCAGTGAGCCGAGATTGCGCCACTGCACTCCAGCCTGGGCGACACAGTGAGACTCTGTCTCAGAAGAAAAAAAAAAAAAAAAAAAAAAATTGGATTCTCAGGTCACAATGGATTGCTCTGATGAAGTAGGGATAGGACCATGGTCCTTCAGTTCAGGCCTGGCCAGACCTACTGGTTGAATGCATGAGGGTGAGTCGCAAGCTGAGTGGGCACCTATCAGGTGCCAGGATACCATCAGTATGCCAAGGGCTGGGCATATTCAACAGGGCTAAAGCAGGACCCAGTCACCACAAAAGTAGCCTGAGACCACTAAGAGAAACCCAATAAGTATACACTGCAGGCCCAAACCTTCCTGCTTTCCTGTAGTGGTGTACTCTTGACAGGAGGAAAACCATGTCAGGCTTAGAGATAGTACACAAATGGGGAATGACAGGAAGAGGGCCAGAGGTGACAAACCACTGGAGATGAGTCAGAGGCCACACCTCTGGACTGGTCTTTGTGGACTTGGGAGTGCCTACCCCAAAACCTTCATGCCACCCACTTCCCCACAGCCAGGAACAAAATTGTTTGTGACTATAATAGCATTTGTGTCCAATAAATAGTCTTAACCATAATGGTGGACTTATTTTGCCCCAGAGACCAAATGTGCTGAATTACGGATGGGAGTGGGCCTCACCTGCTTCCACTCATTGACACAAAAAATTCGGTAAGAGTCGTTGCCATATTTACCAATCCCATGAAGCTCAATCGGATACTTCCACTGCTTTGTCAGGTATTCATCTGAAGAATACAACATCCCACACATCAGGTCAGCTTCTAAAGACACCCTCCCAAAATGTGTGGTGATGGGGCAGGACGGAGAGAACAGAAGAAAGGGACAGGAAAGGCTCTTTCCTGGCAACCTCAGTTGTGACTGCCCTTCTTACTGAATTCCTGTAGCACCCGTATCATTTACCAAATCCTAACCACTCTTTTGTGCTGTGCTAATGTGACAGAGGTCACGTCCCTGAGGTCAAGAACTGGGCTTTCTGCTTCACTGACTTCTTCCTCTAATTCTGCCCACATGCCTGACCCAGTGATGGGCAAAGATTTATTGTTTAGGTCACTGGGAGGCTGTGGTTTGGGGAAAGTGGACTTTTTTAAATGTCTTGGGTGCTTGAGCTGAAAAACCTCCATTAATATAGTATCTGAGGACATTAAAGTTTAAGGGGTGGCTCTCTTAAATAAGCACAAGGTATTATGTTTTTCCTTTGGGTATATAGGAAAATACCTGAGAACTTGACAATGGTTTTTGCCCGAAGATCGTAGAGACCAAGAGGTTTAAGAAGTTCTGACACATCTCTCCAGTCTGCGGTTCTTGCTACCTCAGCTGAAGGATACTTCTCCAGAAACTTCCAGAGCACAGGTATTGCCATTTTACCTGGGAAGTAAAAGTAACTGAATGATTACAAGACTCTAGATAGGCTGATTTCATGTTCAAGTAGTTTCTCATCTAGAAATCTCATCCAGAGGGTTTTTTTTTTTTTTTAAACCACTGGTGAGAAGCCATTATCTGAACCAGCAACCACTTTCAGAATCAAATGCCAACACTGTAATATATGGGGCTAGTAGTCCAAATTATGCTGAAAACTGGCCTTGCATGATTAGCTTTTAAATGATCAGATCAGCAGATAATGAGAGTAGAGGCATATAGAACACAAGGTACATTCAGTGAAAAAGATACTTTTAAACACACACAAAAGAGGGTGGAGAAACATTAACTGATTTTCATTGATGATCAAAATGAATTTGGAAGTAGAAAATAAATAAAATCTACCCCTTTATTCTAAAAGGTCTGTTGGATGTCATCTAGTCTAATTTCCTCATAGGTGAAGAGTTTAAGGGTGAAGGGAGAATGCCTTATCCCAGGTGACACACTCAAAATGGACTGTGAACCCGGGCCTCAATTCAGTGCTTTCTCCTTACCACACTGTCTGTGAGACAAAGATGATAATAATCCCCAAACCTGAGGTCCGATTGAGAAATATAGTAGCGATGAGAAGCTTCCATGGATCGTGAAAAAGTGTTTCTTGAACAAGATTAAAAGGTGACCGAGGAGGTGTCCACTTCTTAAAGGCTTTACGTCGTGGGGGGCTAGGAGCTAAACAAACATACTGCATCAGAATTGAAAACCCAAAATAGAATTAGAATTTGCTGTTCTGATTGGGAAAGGGATACCTTCTTTGTTATACTTGCTGGAAAAATACAGGCTTGTTTTCCTTCTT